TTGGGTTGGCCATAGTTTTAAGTATCGTTCCATTAATTTACTACCATTATTTTGAATGATGAAATTGACTAAGACAGGGAACTAATTGATACTTTTCTTAAGAAAGGTAGGCTGTCCCTAGAGCAAGCAATTAAATATAGAAAAAAATACCTCACTTTCTTGTATTCTTAGTTATTGTTTTAAAAACACAAAAACTAAATGAATATGAATTCAATGATGTTGCACGTTTATTCTTAAATCTCACAACTTTTTTGGTCTTTTTCGATAGTTCATCACATCTGAAGAAAATGATACAATAATATGATAATTTTTTGAAGTGAACGTATAATAGAGGCAACCAATTATTAACAACAAAAAATCAGTACTTTGAAATTCGCATAGAAATGAAATTTGATTTTAGCATTTGGCAATTATTTCATAGAAAGCTATTCTTTTTTTCTTCGTTTCTTTCTATATTCAACAAATTCGAAAGCTTTTCGATTTGATCTATACACGAAAAGGAGAAATCAATCAGATACACAACCGTAGTAAACGAAAATACTAAGTCATGTATATTTGAGAAGATCAAAACCATTAGGAAAGTAATTAATTAAAACTAATCGCCAAACATACAGAAGAACAATTTCTAAACATTTTCTTTCAAAAAAACAAGATGAAACGCAATTTGTAACACTGATTAACGTTCTTGAACCTTAATTATGAAACAAAATTATGTAGATATTTGCTGGTTTATATTATAGTTCAACTGAGAAACAACAGAGAGTGAACTCACTATCAGGTCCGCCAAGTTTAGTGACGGCATCGACGAATCGATCGTGAAGATCAGCAGTCCATCTCAGCCTCGGCTTCGGATCTCTAGTCATCACCACGCCGTTTTCGTACCCGTAGTTCCCCACACCACCTCCGCCACCGCTGCAATAGCTTGTTCTCTCCATCCCATAAAACAAACGAACCACGAAGAACTTCAACTGAATTCCCAAACAGAATCAGAGCTACAAGAGAGGCAATTCACAAGAACAAACCGTTCAGAATGGAACGCCGAATCTCAGAGAATGAGAATAAGAGGAAAAACAGAGAACAACTCAGAGGAATCAATGCTCTGGAAAATCAACTGTTTGTAGATTCAAGTTTCAAACTTTATACACATTGACAGAAAATTTAAAATTTTTTAAAAGCCGGTGATATAAGGATAATTTTTTGTATTATTTTTTTTATATAATTTGTATATATTAATAAATAAGTAAATTTAATATTATAAATTTTAATTAAATAAAAAATTAATTATTTAAAAAATATATATATAATTATTTTAAAAATTATTTCTAAACTTTTTTTAAAAGTATTTTAAATAAAAAATAAGACATTTTATTATTAAAATTATTAATTTAATCATAATAATATAATAAATTTAATAAAATTAAAATCTACATTAACTATTTGTTAATATGAAAAAAGGATTTGATTTTCTTTTTGTAAATGAAAAAGTAAACATTAGAAAATTTTCTCTTATTGAATCTAATACAATTTAATTTTAGGTTAATAAAGATTTAATATTATTATCAAATATTAAAAATTAATAAAAATAAATAAAATTAAAATTTATAT